ATGGGCAGCTGGGGAGATGAAATTAGAGCTTCTACTTGCATCGTCTTGCTATTGTGTAATACAAAAAAAGTTTTTTGTTTATTTTCTCCCTCCCTTTCAGGTTAAGATATGGTCACCATGGAATTTTCCAGGAGTTCAGGACTTAGAGAAGTGTGTGTGTGTACGTGTGTGTGTTTGTGTCCTGGGCAGCTCCCAAGCAGTGGACCAAGGTAGCAGTTTATTTTTACCTGCCTCTTATTCTCCCCGACCAATTCCCATCCCTTCTGGTAACACTTGCTGTACCCCGGACCCTGTTCCAGGCTGGGCCTCCACAAAGTATGCCCGGGCTGCAGGAATAAGCTGGGCCAATTGTAGCCTCTCTCCTGGAATTTCTAAACTTGAGCCAAGGTACAAAAGGATGGAAGGCTGTCAGGGCAGAGTCACCCCAGGGTAATGCCCTTGAGAGAAGGTCTGCTGGTTTTGTGGTTGGGATTTCTAGCATTTCTTTGGTTTGTGTCTTCCCTACGCCTGACAGTTCAGCTCTTTCTGCATTTTCGTAAATGATCTCAGGCTCCTTTCAGTTTTTAAATGTACATTAGCCGGAGTAATTTTCTGTTGCTTACAAGCAAAGCACACAGGGTCTGTGAATTACAAAGTGAGCATGAGTGTCGCACCTGTTCTGTAAAGCTCAGTCTCACACACTCTACAGAAAAGGGAAGACACGTGGCCGTCCAAGGCCACCCGTAAAACCGGGGAGCCAGCACTTGAACCAGATTATTTGTCTCTTTGCTCAGTACTCTACGAACTCATCTATATCACGCTCAATCTGCTTCCTCTAATAAAAACACAAGCTGTTTGTCTTTTTCTTCAAAGCAAAGGGAATATAAACATGGTGGTGCAGGTTGTGAAATGAGGGAACATGTGAAGCATTTTTTGTTCACATCAACTTGGAAGCAAACAAGCAACAAATTTAAAAAAAGAAAAAAAGAAAAAAAACACAACAAAACCTTCAAGCATGGATTAAAGACAGAACAAATTGTCCCCAAAGTTTCCAATGTAAAACAAGACAAATCCTGAAAATTAAGTTGACTAGCATATACAGCAGTGTAATTTTTCCTTAATTAAACTGACAGAGATCCCCAGGTCCACATAAATAAACAAAAAATAACAAGCCTACAGTGTTCAAACGGAGGACATTAAGAGTTGCTAAAAGAGGAATATAAGGGGAAAAAATGTAATAAAGTAATCCATGCTTTGCTGACTTGCTTTCCTGGGGGTAAGTGATCTGTTGGGAAGGATTAGTGGGGAGGAAGAAAGACAGCGGGTTGTACAAGTCAATTGCTAGGCTTGCTCCTAGTGGAACGTCCATCAGACAGGCACAAAGGCTGCCTTCTTCTACCTTTGGAATAAAAAAGCATAAAATTAAAATAAAGATTAAAAGAGTATTGATCTTCATTTGGGGGAGATCCTCCCGGTGGATTCTCTGTTGATACAGTGCACAAGAATAGATACGCTCCTTTAATTTTGTGTAAAGTGAATTTTTACAAATTTAAACCACTTTTTTCATTTCACGGAACTGCATATAAGAAATGTCTTAATTCCTAGTAAATGCATACAAAATACATAGGCCTGCTATACTTGCAGAGGTCCTTGGCAATCAATAATGGCAGCGTTTCCCAATGAGCTAGTCATGGCATCAGAGTCCTTCTTAACGCTAGGCTTGTGGGTAGCCGAGCCATGCCAGGCAGTCAGAGTGGGCCCATGAGGTAAAACCGTTTGCCGTCTCTGGACCAGTTGGGAGGGTCGGCTTTGGAGGCAGACGGGTCAGGATTTGCAGCATCCTTGCCTGCTGTGTAGCCTTGGGCAGCTAATTGAACTGCTCTGAACCCCATTGGTAAAAATGGAGCATATGTTGTCTTGGAGTTTAAAGAAATATGTGTGCAGCTTATCATATTTTGAGCTTTTAGTTTATGTCTTTTTTGCCTCCCACCCATTGGAGCGCAGAGCAATGTCCAAGAAGATGTAGGCGGTGGCAAAGGAAGGCACAGCAGCCTGTAGACTCTCCAGCTTTTGCTGTTACCAACAGAAGCCTATCAGAGGATCCAGAGGATCCAGAGGAGGCAGAAGAGAGAAGAGGAACTGTGGAAGAAACAAAGTGGTTAGAAAAAGCAAGAGGAAGGGTGGCTTTCCTCAGACTGAAAGGAGTTTCCCCAGATTCCTTGAGAGGACCTACATGTCCCTGGGCAGCAGGAACCCAGGTTCAACTTCCTTGCATGACCCCAGAGAATATGGCTGTAGGTGCGTGAGGCTCTAGTTGGGGTTCCCTTTCTTGGCAGAGGGGTCCAGGCCCCATCTGGTATGCCTCCCAAGATGGGGTGAGCCACTGCATCTGAAAGGTCTTGCCAGCTGGGACAGTGACGTTTCTGAGGGAGCCTGTGTGCACAGGGGACCAAGGCCAGAGGGCCCAGTACCTTGGCACCTAGTACATTGACCTCTTGGGTTGGCAAAGCCCGAAGGATGCCAGAGGTGAGGTTTTCTGTCATCCTGGTTAGATAAGAAATAAAAATAAAAATTAGTTTATAGAAAATAAAAAGGTGAAATATTTTTTGTACCTTTGGTCTGAACTGAGATGCATACACACTACCCAGTAAAACCAAATTTTTCTCTTCATCTGAATTATTCTCTACTCCTTCTACCCCCAGTCCAGACCGATTTACTCCCTCCCCTGCTCTGTTCTGAGCCCCAGGACGCTGACCTTTATGGGCTGCCTGACTCAGGCTCTCTTGCTGGCTGGCTTCCTGTTGGGTCTGACCAGGGGGAGCACCAGCAGGAGCTGGGAGTGTGGGAGAGAGAGAAGTTGGGGCTTTCTTACCAGCTCCCTCCCTCCTAGGCACCAAGGGTCTGCATAAGGCTGCGTCCCTGGCTGACCACAGCTCCTGCTGGTGGCCCTTCCTTCACCAGGCTACAATCACACTACTTCTCCCTTTGCCCCTTCAGGCCTCCAGGGGGGGAATAGCTTCCCCCTGTTGTTGGTTTCTGGGCATTCAGTGGCCTTTGTTGGTTCCCTGCCCATTCTCTGAGGGCAGTCCTTTCATTAAATTCTCTTCATTTGAAATATCTGAGAAGAATTGTTTGCTGCTAGGACCTTGACAGATAACATAAGCAAGATTAGTCTTTGGGTTGTTTTCCCAGCAGTGGGGATGGTTATTGTGATCTGGTCACTTTGTCCACTCAGATTCTATCAGGGCCCGCAGCTCCTATCAGTGAGCATGAAAGCTGACGGGGACTGCGGGCCATCGGTGGCGAGCACTGTGGGGCAGGTTCAGTTAAAGTCAGGAAAGTGTATAGCCAGGGCCTTAAAAGGTGTTGCCATCACTCTGACCTGCGTTCAAGTTTCATTTCTACTTGTGATTTCCTTGCACTTGGGTAATTTAAATAACCTCTATGAGTACTCACTGCTTCATCTGTAATGTGTGCTTACTATAAGCTTGTGGGGAGAGAAACAAGATGCAGAAAAGCGCTTTTCACGCCTGTGTTAACCTGAGTATGTGAAGGTGGTCAGAGTTGTTTTTGAGCATCAGTTATTAGTGTCTGTAAGGTCAAGCCTTGTTTCAGCTGCCTTAACTTTCTGCTCTAAGCTGAAAACATTGCAGGTTCTCCCATCCTGGGAAATGCCAAGTGTAGAGTGAAACTGGCAGTTCAAAGCCCTTGTCTTATCTGACCAGGGCAGAAACTACCAGAACTGGAGAATGGGTTGGATTCTAGGTGGTTACTTGCTGGGTATGATTTCTGAGGCACATTGGAAGGCTGCTCAGGCACAATGGATTCATCAACTCTGACATCTCAAAAGCCCTTTTATAGTTTGCTGATGAGACCTCAGGCCTCAGGCCCTAGTTGAAGAAAAAAATCTAGCTTTAATTTCCATTGCTATGCAAATGATGTGGCCTTTCTGGAGGTGGGGGGTGGGGCTATGATGGGGATCTGGGGAGAGGATTGGGACCAAAATTGGAAGTGTAACAAAACCTGGCAGTCAAACTGGGATTTTGAGCATGTGGCTGAGAGATCTCAGCTCTAAACAAATCTCTGACTCTGGCCTTCATAAGCTTGTGTGACCTTGGGCAAATGCTGATCATCTCTGGGCCTCAGTTTCTCATTCTTCAAATTTAGGGGAATGAAATATATATGTTTTCTAAGGTCTCTCCTGATATTTATTCTCTACACTGCTCTGCCGCTATCCTTCCCCGACAGATGTTGCCTTGCTGGCTGCTAACTACCAGCTGCTCTATCTGGGACCCAGAAACTAGGGAAATGCCCGCAGCACCCCTGTGGGAAGCCATTCCTAACCTAGGTACGATCTTTGTCCACTGATGGAGGCTGTGGATACCTGTATTCACTGTGCCATTCTCACATCTCAGCATTAGTCCTCTTCTCGGGCTAAATGCCCTTGAAGGGGGAGCATTTCAGGGACAGGGGCTGGGCTGACCTGGAAGAGTGACTGATTTACAGAACGGAGCTGGGCTTGGCGGAGACTTAGGGCTTCCCTCACCTGTCCGGGACCTCAGTTCCTTCATCTTTCCTACAACACAGTGGGCTAATCAAGACCAAAATCCAGCCCTCATGTATCTTTTTTCTCCCTAGGTACTTTGGCAAAGACCGGGCTACATCCCGAGCCTACTTTTGAATTGAGATAGCTTTTGGCAACAATTCTTTTATAAGTGATGGCATTGACATTACATCTCGGTTAGAGTAATTTACTCCCCACAGTAATTTTGACTTAGCTTGTTCTACACAGAGGGTGATTTTAATCATTCTTTCAGTTGTTATTGATGAGGGCTCTTGGAAAAAGATTAGAAGATTAGTTTAAAATTATCCCCAGTGAATTTAAAACAATAACAAGGATGTGAATATAGATTCAAACATATCAAGGGCTGTCATAGATGTATTAAGAGACTACTATTTGGTCTCTAAATGGGGACATAATGGTAGCACTAATGGCAAGGCTTGGGTACGCCTTCTCTTACCTGGCTTGTGCCTGGGCTGACCCTCGCTCTCCCACCGCTCCTGCCCATTCGTGGTGCTCATTTCTGCATTTGTGCCCCTCCCTATTCACGCTCTTCCATTTTTCTGCCATGCTTGGCTCATCCAGAGCTCGCCAGTCCCAAGAGTCCTTTTCATTCCCACCTTCTCCTGGAAGCTTTCTTTAGAGCTTGTGTCTCTACTTTCAACTGACAGGCTGGTGTTATCTGTGAACGTATCAGTTGTTTTAGGAGGGATTTTTATTGGTTTTCCAAGACATTAATAGTTATTCTGAGAAAGAAAGGGGACCAGTTTATGAATAAATTTCTTTGGGAAATGCTGAGTGAAAGGTAAAAAGGTGTGTGTGTGTTTTGTAGGACTTATCAGAGCCTTTAGTATATTACTGAATTTTTTGAATCTCCCAATAAGGAGACATAGTGTTCAGCTTTTTCCAAAGTCCCTTGATTTACGTCTAGTAAACGGAGTGTTTGATGTAAGGATACATGGGAGAACAAGGAAAATATGGATCTCTCCAAAATTTAGGGCAGTCACACTGTAGGGCCTTATGGAGGCTGAGATGGTTCAAGAACTGGAAGGCTCCCGTGAGGCTCCGAGCTGCTCATGGACTCTGGTGTCTTCTCATAAATAGGACCCACATACTTGCTGGAGTATACTCCTGGGCTACTATAATGATTAATACTCTATTTCCAATTCCAATTCATGAAAAAGTTTATCTATTTGAATCAGCTAATAACTACTGTCCCTGGTCGGGCAGTCTTGTGTCATCATACATGAAGGCCACCAAAAAGAATCTGAGCGTGCCATCCTTTGCTCCCTAACGTAATCAGCGGCTGCCTGCGTGCAAAGTCAGCCTCGGCGCCACTTCCCTGGAACGGGCTGGGTCAGGCAGCTTCGGCTGGAGGGAAGCGGAGGCAGGCGGCCTCATGAGGGACATATCTAGGGTAGTTCACTTGTCGAGCACCATGCGTATGCCTCTGCTTCCCTCTGTATTCATTTCCAAAGATGCCACACCTAAGATGACCTAACTATCGAGACTACACTGTGAAGCACTCTCCCCTACATCGTAAGCAGCGCAGATCATGGCAAAGTGCACACGGAGGGGCTCAGTTGTCATGCAGCCTCATGTGACCGTGGAGTCCACAGCATCTTGGTGATTTGCTGAAAGCAAAGGATCTCAGCCTGGGAGAGTCTGCATTATGGCCTCAGTGTAGGAATGCATCTCTTTTCTCCCACACAGTGAGTGCTTTGATGGCTTAGCCTATGGATTAGCGGGGCATCTAGAAGGTTCCTGCAAATGTGCAGCAATGTGGCTTAGTCAAACGCATCTTTTTTAGCCAAAGCAAGAAATCACTCTCTAGGTTTAAAGGAAAGAAAGGTGACTTGTAGATTCTTACAACTTCACAGGGTGAGCTCCTCATTATCAGATCCCTGTTTCTCTTCACTTGGAGGTGACAACTAATACCTTTCTCCAAGATACATCACAACCACCTCACACTTTGTATGCAATTCCCCTGAGGGCTCAGGCTTCTAGTTTAAGAACCAGTCCATCACATCCCCAAATAATTAAAGCCGAGAGGGACTTACCCTGGAGGTGAGCTCCCACTCCTTTCACACAGGGAGGGATCTTTCTTTGTAGGATCTGACCAGATAATGGTCATAGCATCCATCTAATGACAATACCCCTACACAACCACTGATGTCTCTTCCATGGCCTCTCATGCCGATGACAAGGAATCCAAAAGTGGAGTCCTGCAGAAGAGGGCCTGCTAGGGGTCAGAGCAGATGGTCAGAGCTTCCCTGTGGCAAAGCTGAGGCTGAAGGGGAACCTGGACTGCTGGCTTGATAGACAGCCAGGCCACCCCCAGGAGTACAGGTTGGGCTGTTTGCAGCCTGATGCTCACGTAGGTGTGCAGGGGCTAAACATTAATATCCCCAAGTTAGAGGCCAGGTGTGGAGGGAGCCAGACCATGCCTGGGCCCCACTTGATAGTGACAAAGGGGATTCTATAGAATCAGCAAGTCTGGCTCTTGTAGGCACAGACCTTGCAGTGCTGACCTTAAACCTGCAGGGGCAGAGGTCCTTAGAGGCAGCTGGGGAAGCTGTGCTGGGGTAACAACGGGACCTCTCTCTGGGTCTTGCCCCAGCTCTGCATCTCCCTGTCTCTCACCCTGGCTCTTGCTTTCTCTTTCTTTTCCTAGCTCTCTCTTACATGCATAAGAATCCCCTGGGTGCCTGTTAAAGTTGCACTTTCCTGTGACTCATCCCCATTGATTCTAATTCAGTATTTCTGGGCTGGGGCTTAATAACTTGAAATTTTAATAGCCACACCAGTTGATTCCGAAACAGGTCTATGGACCCCACTTGAGCATTAAATAAAATCTATAACTGGATTTTTTATTTACTTTTATCTGAAGTGGTATTAGAACAATTTGTTCTGAAGAATGTCCATGTGCCATTGATAACTGTTAGCTAAACTTCAGCTTGTTGACTTTCTGACTACATCATGAGCATTAGCCAGGTGCTTGCATGTACAAGCATATAGTTCACAGCTCTATGCGTATCTGCGTGCTCACAGAGTTCATTTATCTTGACTCTAAGTAGCAGGATTGCCATTCAGGAATTAAAACCCATTTCTGTAAATTGATGCCGGCTTCTGCTGTTCCTGACTGTGGGTTGAATGAACAACTGGAAATGCTAATGTTCCTCTGTGTCGTTATTGTTGCAATGTTTTCCCCCCAAACCCTATAAGCCTTTGCAGTGTTTTTATCTAACGAGGTTGTGAATAGCAAGTTTCCAAGATGCTGAGCTAATGTCTCCACAGGGCCTCAGAGCTTCACTATTTTTCTCTCATGAGTGGAGCAAAAGAAATGTTTCAGGAGGCTCAGCTGACACTCTCCAAGTACATGGTAGGCAGGATCTGATTTCTGTCCACTTGCTGAGGATGGTGCCCGAAGGTCTGGGCTCTTCTGGTGGAAGCGTATGTCGCTGCTGCTGGCTGAGGGTGCTGATCCTAGAGGTTATCCTCAGGCTTTAGTCCTGCATTAGTGTTATTATTAAGGTCTCTGTCTCTCAGTTTTGGAGGTAATTTGTTATGTGGTTGGAGAAGGCCAATACCACGTTCTTACTGGGAGTCCTGACGCCTAGGATCTTGTTCCTACTGGTCACTAGCCAGCTGAGTGACTGAACAACACGTTGAGTCTCTTAGTCCTTGGTTTCCTCATCTCTGAACTGGGATGGTACCTGTCTTACCCTCAAAGTCTTTGAAAAGGGTCAAATGAAACTGGGTGGGGGCCTTCTGTGGGAAACATACACCTGATCTAAATTCAAGCAGTACTGTTATTTTAGGCCTTGTTTTTATACAAAGCCACAGTGGAAAATGCATCATGGTCTTTATATTGATGCCCAACTTTCAGAAACCCAGTTCAAAACCAACACTATTTTTTAAATAAAGTTTTAAAAATAAAACCAGCAGCATCTAGAATAGCTTCTGTTTTTCTTGACAATGACTTGTTTCTTATTTTTCAAAATTATGTGATGACCAGGAATCTCCCTGGGGAACTCCATGCACGCATGACCCCATCTATCTGAACCACAGGTCATCAGTCATATTGAAAGCACACTGCAGAACAATAGCTCAAGTGAGAACAGTGGTTCCAATGGTGACAGCGAAAGTAGGAACTTGCTGTGGAGCTGCCAAAGTTGTCAGTGGTCATCTGAGGTGTCCAGTACCCAGGGATATTTACAGCAGGAACCATGAAGCCATGAATTGGCTAGGTGAGAGGTGGTTCCGCACACCCCCCTTAGAGAGATTTTTAAAAAAGTCTGCCGTTCAGCATGTACTAAGTATAAACCAGTGAGCTGGATGTCAGGATATCTGCCCCATTTCTAGGAAATGTCTGTCACAAGAATGGATGATTTAATGTATTTGTTACTCTCTGCATTGCTGAATTGCATTAATATTAGGATTATCCAGGGTAGAATAATTATAATGCTACTGTCAGATTAGAAATTGGTAGAGACAAATGTTCTAACACAGAATCTGCCACCAACATACCAAGCAAGTTGCCATTTTCCTGTTCTGAAATCAAGACTCACACTGGTGACTCAACCAATGTCAAGCATTGTTAGCCAGAACAGAAACAGACTCACAGACGGAGAAGAGACTGACAGCTGTCAGAGGGGAGGGGGGCTGTGGGCTGGTGGAAAAGGTGAGGGATTAAGGAAACACACAGACATACCAGCGGGGCAGGGGTGGGGGAGGTAGGAGAGGGTGAAGGGGGATAAATGGAGATGGAAGGAGACTTGACTTGGGTGGTGAACACGCAATACAGTATACAGATGATATATTCTAGAACTGTACACCGGAAACCTATATAGTTTTATTATCCAATGTCACCCCAATAAATTCAGTTCAAAAGTAAAAAAAAAAAACAAAGATAAAAAAATTGTTAGCATACTGAATGTGAAATTGCCTAGGAAAGTTTAGAATGTGAGGCAAATGTAAGGTATTATTTTGATATTTCTAAGAGTTGTAGGCATCTCTTTTTAAAAAATTGTGTAGTGAGACATAACACGCATTCCACAAACAGCACACATCTTAAGTTGCCCATGAGCTCCTTAATTTTTAAAATTTTACTTAAAATTTCAAATTCTTTAAAATGTCTCTGTGCTTTGTGTGCTTGACCAAGAAGGTGTTGCAGTGGGTTATATATTACGATTGGATTCATCCAGGCACTAAGGCTGATGCAATTATATTCCTGGAACAGGACCCAGCTCCACGCACATCTCTCAAATCAGAAGTGTGTGTGCGGATTTCAGTGTATTTACATAGGTGAACACGTGGCTATCAGAGGACCAAACTCTAGGACCTGCATAGGAGTGTGTGTGCGTGCGTGTGCGTGTGTGTGTGCAATAAGGCCCTTCTAGCTACAGGAGCACAGCCCCAGAGAAGAAGAAGATGGTTACAAATACCTGGACCTCACCCAGGATGGAAAGGACCCCAGGGTCTGGGGACCAGGTTTCTCACCGTCATGTGCGGCTTCTCC